ACATCACATTCCATTCCAGTACAATACGTTGCGTTACATTACATACATACATTACATTACATTACACTGCATCACATTGCATTACATTACATTACATGCATACACTACAAACATTACATTACATTACATTACATACATACATACATACATAGATACAGTACATACTTTCATGCATAAGTACGTACATTACCCACATACATACCATACATACATAGATACATACATACATGCATGCATGCATGCATACATACATTACATTACATTATGTTACATATATACATTACTTTTCATTATGTACATACCTACTCTCATTGCATACATTACCTGCATGCATGCATGCATGCATGCATGCATGCATGCATGCATAACATACATACATACATACATACATACATACCTACATACATTGCATACATTACCTGCATGCATGCATGCATGCATGCATGCATAACATACATACATACATACATACATACATACATACATACATACATTACATTACATTACATTACATTACATTACATACATACATACATACATACATACATACATACATACATACATTACATACATACATACATACATACATACAGACAGAACATACATACATACATACATACATACAGACATCCATACATTACATACATACATACATACATACATACATTACATACATACATACATACATACATACATACATACATACATACATACATTACATACATACATACATACATACATACATACATACATACATACATACATACATACATACATACATACATACATTACATACATTACGTTCATACATACATACATACATTACATACATGCATTACATACATACATACATACATACATACATACATACATACATTACATACATACATACATACAGACATTACATACATACATTACATTACATTACCTTACCTTACCTTACATTATTTACATACATACATAACATTCACACATACATACATACATACAAACATACATACATTACACTACACTACACTACATTAGATTACATTACACTACACTACATCACATTACATTGCATTGCATTACGTTACATTCTAGACATGTATACATTACAATACATACATTACATACATGCATACGTACACACGTTCATACACACCTTACATTACACTACATTACGCAACACTACACTACATTACATTACATTACGTTGCATTGCATTGTGTTACGTTACATCACATGACGTACATACACACACACATACATACATACATACATTACATTACATTATGTGATTCGGGCACGAGCCTGTGCCCAGGCAATGGGTTAGTTGGGGTAAACAAGCCACAAAAGAAAGGTTCCCCAAAAGCAAACCAATCCCCGGTCCCAAAGATCAGGGTTTCCCACACACCAGAGAACAACAACCAAAAGGGAAAATCCAAAACAAGTAAACAAGTACCCGCAACCTTGATCGACGATGAACCGCACGGGCGGACCCCACCACTCTGCCCCGGGCCGATGTCTCTTTCTCCACCGACACGAAGGTGATCGACGCGGGGACCCGGCGACGCTCATCCGAGGCGCGACGGACCCGCAAACTTGAGCCAAACATCACAGGTCAGTCACTACCGCGACATCCCTGATGATGAAATGAACCATGGCTAATCACACCCCCCTCACGAGGAGCCCGTCATATGACGGGTGGAGCGTGCCATTTACTGATAGGATTTAACTGCTCGCACGCGTCCGCAAACAGCTGGACTACCGCCGTCAGCGGTGGAGCAAACCCACAAAGGCAGTTGCGCGACATCCCGGCCATTAAATTCCCGCCACCACCCCGAATTAATCGGGGTAACGCTGTCCAACAAACCTTGTGGAAAAGTCCACATGACGACATTAGGTCACAACTGTTTGCATCAACAATGCAAGAAGTTTAATTCTTATCAGAAGCCATGAAATAAAAGATAACGTATGTCCATTAGTACCCTCGCCTAACGGCAAGAGGTACCCCTGACCATGCGTACCTGAAAAATGCTTGAATTCCGCAAACCCGGGAGTAACCCCCCATCAGTTTGCTTTCCCTCTCACTCACACTGCTTCCTGATGAACACGACCAGCAGCCCAGCAGCGGTACGGGAGAGACATGACCTCCGCGCCTCAGCGGTCCGGGAGGAACATCACCACCTCCGCACCGCGCCGACCATTGGAGAATGGACGCAAGCCTACCGGCCGCAATCCTCGTGACTCAGCCTATCGGCTATCATCACGTCTCCTCCGGTCACGTCCGCCCCGCGCGCGGTCTCTGTCACGATCCCTTTCGGATCTCCTGCGATCATCTCGCCTTCGATCTCGCTCCCGATCTAGTGCATGAATCATCATCACGACGATCACGAGCATCGTCCCTCCTCCGGTCGCGATCATCCTCGCGCCGCGGACGGTATCTGCGCCTTCTCGATTCTCTGGAATCCCTGGTGTCCACGGTCCTAACGGACCTCCGAGAAGGAGTGCGGGAGACATCCGATTCCCTACGTCTTCTCGCAGAGCGAGAATTCGTCACGATCTGGTTGAGAGCCTCCAGTGCTGACGCGTCCTCACCATTTCTAATGAAATCCCTGACTTGCTTGTTCAGCACTCTGTTGGTGGAGACCGCCAAGAGAGCGTCCACCACTGAACTCTCAGGCAGCACCAGGAAGTGACCCTCCACCGGACTCGCCGCAGCTCGCTCAGCCGGCTGCAACCTAATCTCACCGCCTTCAGGCTTCTTTGCCATTGCCTTGGAGGCTGTCAAAGGCGCTACCGCTTCCTTTGCCGAAGACCTGCCAAGCGCGGAGTGAAGATCATCCCCACTAGCTTCTCTCGCTGCCGCACCTGGTCGGCTGTCGACGTCATCAGGCCTTGTCGACGCCTCCCGCTTTGTCGACTCCTTCACAGTCTCATCGGGATCCCAACGGGACTTCCTTTCTCTCTTCTGCCCTTCAGCCGACCCCCGACTACCGCCAGGAGCGTCGTCTCCGCCTACCTTCTCCTTCTTGACCTCAACCCTCGGCTCGGCCTGCTTCGTCTCCTTAGCCTCAGCCTTCGGAGCCGGAGCATTCTTCGCCTCTGAAACAGAAGCTGCCTTTCCCTTTGGCTCGGCCTTTGGAACCGGAGTCATTTTAGCCTTTGCACTCGGCCGGGCTCCTTCAACCACTACCGAGATCCAAGTCTTCTTTGGCTGAGCCGCAGCAGCATCAACCTCCATCGGAGCCGGCCCTGCATCAGCCTTAGCTTTTGCCTGTGTGACAGATGGGCTATCGCCCTTACCAGACCCTTTCCCTGGCACCTCACCTGACTTCGCTGGTGGGCCGGAAGGACTACCGCCCTTACCGCCCTTTTCTCCCTTCTTCCCTTTCCCTTTTCCGCCCTTGATGATCGGCTCCTGCTTAGGACCAGGACCCGGCGCAGCATGATGCACCGATTGAAGCCCTTCGACGTTCA